TGTACGAATGTTTTGGAAGCTTCATTTAGCCAACAAATAAAATCAGAGGATTTATTTGATTCAACGATATTTCTCATATACACACAAGATCATGTACACTATCAACTACATTAAGTGGCATAGGTTTTACTGAAGTAGAACCGAGGTAACAGTGTAACTAAAATTAGTAACCAATCTAACTCTTGCATATTGTTCAGCAGATATTTAACTCGTGAAAACGTATGTTAATAAATGACAGTCTTCAAAACATTAAAATATTCAGGAATACATCTTGTTTTTTTCGTTCAATAAGTAGTTAGACTCGTTTCTCATGTTGTTTTTTCAGCATTGAAATCATTCAACCTTATTTAAATCATGATCACTATGACAATAAATTTTTTAGAATGTTCTTGTTCAATGACTGGAGTGACTGTAGGGATTGATTGTTTAGAAATCTTTTTCATAAAAGCAATTCACTGTTAACGGTGTCATTCTAAGCTGAGTCATCAGAAAGTGGCCTGATTTTGACGCTTGTTATACAAATAAAAAAAAAAGAAAAGAATAGCAGTTGAGAATTTATCATCATGCCCGCTTGTACTCTTTATAAAAGCAATTGCTCGTTGTCAATGTGTAATAAAATGATGCAGACATATACTACTATTTAAATATTTTTGAATAGGTGCAAAACTTTTTTGATAGCTGTTTATTTAGTTTCATAACAGTATATTGGGATGATGAGTTTCGATAATTCATAACGACATTACAATTTATAATGATCTAATGATATTAGAGATGCAACGTCTATTGTTAATAATTAATCTCAAGATTCTTAAGTGATTCTTGCTTATTATTTCTTCCAGATTTGTTTTATGTACTCTTTCAAATAAAATTTTTTGTAACTGAAGGAAACTTTTTACGATAAAGTTTTTCAGCTAATTTTGGTGGCGATCAGTTTTCGCTCATTCAATTTAGATAGATGCACTGCATGGTGGGAATTCTGATGTTACGAATATCAATTAAACCATTGTTGTCAAGTCTACAAATATAGAATTTCTATGAATCATTTTATTCCATTCAACCTAGTTTTCGTCGTAGTTTTGTTAAGAAAAAAACGAAATGACCTTTGAGCATGTATGAAGTGATGAAATACAGAAAAGGTGGCTAGAGTAGGACAAGAGAAAAATCAATAGATTATAGAGAGAAGAATATTAAAGCATACAGAGCCGAGAAAAATTATAGAATCACCCATCAGCTTTGACTTCTTAGTATGTCTTATGGTAAAAACTTAAGAAGCAACTACAAATCGATGTATTGGTAATAAATTTAAAATGAAAAAGTGCTATTACTCAGCAAAAAAAATCCGAAAGAAGTCAAAGTCGGTATGGGATTCTATGAATTTTCACAGCACTATCAATAATAAATAACATATCCGATTATACTAATCCATTTTTTTGTGACAGGATGAGTCGAATCAAATCCGATGGAAATTTTTCTCGTTATTTTTGGTCTCTGATACGGGTGCATTCAAATTTTATTCTACTCTGTCTTTCTAGGTAAGTTATTCTCTTCAATGAGTCAGAGACTATTAATTTTTCAAGTAAGATTAGTAATCAATTGGAACGGAATGGATGTTTTCAAATAAAGAAGCGCAATCACCCACGTAAACGCCAAATTAAAAATAGACACATTTCGATTAAAAAGAACCTATGTACACTGGTAATAGAGAGACTGATTAAATCACCTGAAATCTCATATAAAACATTCTTTTCATTATTGCTTATGGCATATATTCATTTTAGTTAGAAAATTGCTTGTTATATGAGAAGAATTATGAATTCAAGAATTTCTTAGCATCAACCGATTGTTTTATCAATCAAATAACCATTCATCTTCTCTTAAGTAAGCCTCTCTTCAGAAAACAGCGATTTCCAAAAAATAAGATTTCATTCATTTGACCTAAAGATTATCAGAAGTGTCAGAGTAAAAGTGTATCTAAAAACACTTCTTATTCATTTCCTTTGATTATAAAGCTCTACTAGCATTCTTTGAACGATTCTACAATTAGGGTGATTTCAGAGCGTTTTTAGAGTTTCTCAATTTCTGACAGCTATTACAATTTTCTAGGGTCTGGGACTTCTTGGAAATATGTTTCGTTTGCTTAGATGGCTTCGTCCCTTCAATGTATTTTTAAGTCACAGAAATTTCAGAAGGGTATAGTTCATGCAATTCAATTAGGCCTCGCCTATGACTTTCAATTCAATAGATTAATAACAAATAATACAAGGTCATTGATCATTTTTATTTTTTGAATTTATTCCAAAAAATCTTGTGAATATTTTGGACTGATCTTCAGGCCACTATCAACACAAATAACAAGTAAAAAATACAACATTTTTTATGTAGAACTATTCTTTTCGTTCTTTTTCTTTTCTTTAACATTGCAATGCAAGTGGGAGAAACGTTTGCTTGTGCATTGCAAAGTTAAAGAAAAGAAAAAGAACGAAAAGAATAGTTCTACATAAAAAAATGTTTATATTTTTTATTTTTTATTTGTATTGGTGATGGACTGAAGATCAGTCCGAAATATTCACGAGATTTTTTGAAATAAATTCAAGAATAAAAGGTACAGATGATCAATGAACTCGTATTATTTGTTATTAATCTATTTAAATATATTTTAATTCCATTCATCTGAAGAAGTCCTTTCTATAACTGGTGGAGAGAAACAAAACTAAAATGCAAAATTGTTCGATGCGTTTTAAAATTCTATTAAATTTATTTTCTATCTGGTAAAATATTGCAGCAAAAAGAATTCAGAAACTCAATAAAATCCTTGGACTTAGTTTCAATAACGTAATAACTTTTGTCTTTTAGGCAATATTTATTAACGTCAAAATATTACTATCAAATTTTTACTGTTCTAAAATCAACAGCAAAAATAGTTAACTTAAATAATCATTGATTAAACGAAGTAATATCTTGAGCACGATAAAAATCTGATTTGATGATAAAGATAAAATTTACCTGATATCGATGGTAAGTAGCAATTATCATGTTCAGTCGTGTACACACATTATGAACTGAACATAACATTGTGAAGTCATCGAGATTGTCCAAGATGCGATAGACAAGCTCGACAGGTAAACTAAGAAAAGGTGGTGGAACTTTGTTATCCATCAATGTTGCTAGTGTTCGAACAATATGCGTCGTTAAAATGAATGATTGTTGAGCTGTTTTCTTTATGCCGATTTGTTTACTGGCAACGTCGTACGAACTTCCATTATGGTTGTGCAATTTTCTATTTACACAGAGAACGAAAACAAGTATAGCACGACGAATTCAACGACCAATCAAATTCGTTAAAGTAACTATGCACATACAATTTTTTTCACCAACTTTTCATAGGAGTCTCTGGTGTATGTTCCTCTTGGATTTATTTGAGACCTCTTTCAAGTTTTTCTTTCTCTCCGTTTCGTTCTGACTTTCAGCATAAAAGCAAAGAAAAAAAATATAAACACGTTTTAGAAGAGAAGAAAACAAATCGACGAAACAGAGGAGAAACACATCAGTAAAAAAAATCTGAACATTATGATCTTGTTATTCTTATACAAGATAAATACCAAACAGAGAACACAGTAGGAGATTAAAAACTAGGTTGCCACAACTTGTCGCGGGACTCGGTGTGACAGGGATATTGGTATACATGTAGTTTTGCTCCTCATCCTCATCAGAACACGAACAGGCACACCCATACCCACACTCCGTGCCCACACCCACATCTAATCAAACGATTACCGCCGATCTCAACTCTCAACAACTGCAACAATTGCATGAATTTCTACCTGAAAAGTGGCCGGACTTGATGAATGAAAAAGACGTCATCCTTCTTCATGAAAATGCTACACCTCATGTAGTAAAGTTAACTCAGCAAACAATCGAACAGTTCGGATGGAAAGTTCTTCCGCACCCGTCGTGGTCAGCAGACCTTGCGCCATCCGATTATCATCTATTCCCCTCTCTTCGAAACTATCTTCGCAACAAGCACTATGAAGACTTCGATAAGCTAAAATCTGACCTCAGTGCCTTTCTAGAATCGAAACCAGCTAGTTTCCACAAACGTGGAATTAAACTATTGCCAACTAGATAGACGAAAGTTGTCGAAAACAATGGTGATTATATTGTTGACTAATGCTTCATATCTTTGTTGAAAAATAAATTTGTTGTTGAAAAAGAAAAAACCATGCGGAACTTATGTAACAACGGGATACCTATCAGATCCGATCCATTTTAGAACGGAATACGACGTCATCCGATACCAGATCCAATCGTTTTCGGTAAGATCCGCAGGCAGGATTGGTTATCCTGGGTACACTGGTGATAGAAATACCATGATTACTTGTACTACTGCCCATTCCAAAAAAGAAGGCGGGTGGGTATTTTTTGAATAACTTTTGATAGGCACAAGATAGAAAGCTGCGGTTTTCACCGTTGGAAAGAGGTATATCCGACGCATCTATTCATATAAAATTGTTGAGATTCATTACATTAGTAACTAGTGATCCATGGTCCCCTTGAAAGAGTAGCCTGTTACTCTATGAAGATAGGATCAATTTTAAACTTTGAGGAGTGGACTAGAACCGCCCGCTTAAGCTCTACAAATCTACAAAAGGCCGAAATTTTTATCTCGATTTGGTCAAAAGTTATAAGCAAAATATTAACGGTATTTGATCGAGTTTTTGTCAATTTTACCTTGTCCAAAATATTTTTCAAACTATCATTACTGATGCTTTCGAGAATGACGAATCAATTGACAGTGCTTTTTTCAAAACATAGGGCAACGCTTTTCCTATCAGAATCCTACTACTACCGATTTCACGATATTACTTTCATAAGTTATTACATTGTTAACTTGCAATACATACATCATATTTCACGAATATTTATGATCAGAAGAGCAATATCTTAAATTTCATTCTTTTAATAACGACCAAGGAATCAAAAAAGGTGAGCAAAATATATTGTTAATCGTTCATCTCTTCTTCTACCGAATCAACTTTTTCGCCTTCATCGACCAATTCTTCCTCGATTTCCTCAATAACTCGATCAGACTTCTTGAACGTGTCTTCGATCTTACGTGTTTCATTAATATATCCTATAGAAGTTGTTCTACTTAAAGACGTCATCCATTCATAAGCCAAATGTCCAACGTCACTAAGACTACAGTTAACATTTTTGTCACGAACATAGTTTTTCAAACCAGCCCATGCTAATTCAATCGGGTTGAGCCTGCAATGCTTGACCGGCAAGCTATGAAAATACATTCATCAATATAAAAAATAGTTTTGAAGGAGTAAAACTAACCGTAAAATATCGACATTGTATTTTTTTGCTGCTTCATCCACTAGGTAACGTTTTGGTGGTAGTTTATCGAAAGCGAGCATAAGTAACTCGGCTTTAGTGGCTTTAAAAGGGACTCTAATATTATGATTTATTAACCATTGTACGGCCAGGTCTTTTCGCCATGCTCTCTTCGGAGGGATAGTGTCTTCAGTAAGTTGATTATGCCAAGTCGCATTATCAATAATCAAGACAATCTTGACATGCTGGTCTAAAAATGTCAGCAGTAAAATTCATAGTGAAATGCTAGAAATCATATTACCCAGTTGTTTTCTCAAAAGAGAAGTTGCTCGATCAATCCAAGCCAGAAAGTGTTTCGAGTCCATACTATGATTCTCATCGCATTCGAATATATCGACTGTTTCTTGAGGGTGTGGGTGTGGGTGTGGGGTGTGGGTGTGTGGGTGTGTGGGTG